ATTTCCGATTGTGAAATGGCCGCAGCACTTGAACCATGCTATGCAAAAGCTCATACTCGCCTTGGCTTTGCTTCCTATTGCGCCGCAGATTATGGTAGAGCGGTAGAAGCTTTGAACCGGGCACTGAGCCTCGACTCGTCGTCAATTATGTCGCGCAAATATCTTGCCCGCGCCCAAGATCGACTGATTCGGAGTCTGCTTTTTCGAGAGTTGCTTCCCCAAAACCTATCTCGGCAGCATGAGTCGCCAAAAAAGGATTCTTTCTCAAAGGGAGATCAACTGCGTACCCTCGTTGAGCACACACTCCCGCCCACGGAGAGAATTGCTCTCCATCAAGATTGCAACTCGCCAACTCAGGGAAATATCACTAGCCGCCTCATGCATGAGATAGCCGCCTCACGAGAATTCCCAAATAGAAGCATTGGTGAGATTTGGAGTACATGTTCTGTGTTGGAGCAGACAGGGCGGGTCAACCCAAAACTGCAGCTCTCCATCAGCGAAGAGACAGCTTTCAAAATAAGTAAACTTAAGGAACTTCATGAGCGTGGTGTGCTCTCAAAGAAAGATTATGAAAAAAAAATTGAGAGAGTTGCGCCATTGATGCTAGCAGAAGACTGTCCGGAATACACTAGCAAATAGCAAATAGCTTTCTTTTCTACAACCTGCTAGCGACGAGAAGCTCAGTGGGATATGCTGCACGAGTATTTGTCCTATCTTTCGGGTAACCCCAGAAGTCTCTTTTTCGTCGACTTATCAGACCACGCAGCCAATAGAGGCCTCGATGCTCCGGTGCAGGGTTCTGCACTCCCATCCAATACAGCACTTAGTTCACTGAATAGGAATGCCATGAAGGCATGAATTCGGAAGGCATGAATTGGAAGGAAACGCAACACTGGTCATAAGCTGGCTTTCTTGATCGAAGCCCAGCGCCACACAGCGAAAGTAAAGCCGCGACCGCCACCATAAAATTGCATTTACGGTAGTACTATACATGTCCGGTAACCGTTGTGACCTGTTTACAGAGGCCCTCCGGAAAACATTTACTCTACTCTACTGACTCTACTGTCAGAGGTTATCCGGACGACTATGGAGCGTCCTGGCATGTGAAGACCGCCCCCCCCCGGCGGGGATAACTAGCTTACCTTCGTGCAGCCAGATCCCCACCAGGAGAGAGGCATGGTCTTTACTTACCAGTGGAGCGTCGTGGGGATCAACACTGGGATGGTCTCTAGTCACAGAGGCCGCCACTGTCGTCGCACTATAATGCGATACTCAATGGGAATGAGGGGAGGGAGAGCTCTAGAGATACAAAGAATCCAGCACAGTTAGGCGGGTAGCGACTAAACTAAGAGGGTGGTAGTGGCCGGGTGTTCACACTCCCGAATTACTGAGATCGACCGTTCGCGAGGCTCCGGCGCGTCCTGGAAGGCGCCGGTGACGTCGACGTCGGGGTTGCTCGACGGGTCGCCCGCGTCGCGGTCGTGGAGCTCCGCGAGCTGAAGGAGCGTATCGGCGACGCCGTCCCTTTCGAAGTCTTCGAAGCGCCTGGCGAGGTGGGGGCGCGCGGAGATTCTTGAGCGGCGAGTCGCGAGCGATGTAGCGGTGCTGGCTGACTTCGGCAGGACGAGAAATTGTTACACCGGATCGGTCAAACAGGCAAACATGTCACTGAAGCGGCGTGGGAACGCGCAAACGGAGATAAGCCCGCTTTCAAGGGGAGTCTCATCTCCATGCTTCGCCTCCCAGCGATCTCTCGGCTGATCTTGACGGTCTTCAA